ATTTACATTTACAGCAGCAGAGGCCACGTAGAAATATTAATAGCTTTGGGCTTCAGTTCCCAAATTGCAAAACAAAACGAAAATGCCATTTGGTTGGAACAGAACTTTCAACTCTGAGATTTTTCTGGAACTCTTCATTTATGTACACTTCTTTATTAAAAAAAAAAACTATTCTGGAATTTTTGTTCTATACTTTTTCCTGGGAGGTGGGAAGGAAACAAACTTTTTATATTTATATTAATATGAAAAGTCACTGGAAAAGTCATGAAATGTCCTCATGAAGATTGTATGTGGCTAACAGTAAAAATACCAAGTGAACACATATTTGTAGCATGAATCATCTCTTAAAATGTCCCATGACTTTTCCTTTAAATAATGAAAAGTAATTAGCATTCAACATCACTAGGTTGCTAGCAGCTGTTGCAACCTGATCATTATTTCCTTTAGATCTTCGGGATGTAGTATCTCTTCAGGCTACATGCTGTCTTTAGCTAACCCCAGCGCCTGAAAGAGAAACTTGTCATGTACCCTCTTCCTAATCATAAAGATTAAAGATATCCTCTTTGTATTAGGAGCCTTAGAATATCTGTGTGTGTGTATGTGTGTGTGTGTGTGTGTGTATACAGGCATATATATATATATATGTATATGTATATCTTTGCAGACAGACAGGTTTTCCAGGGCCTGAAAAAAATATATATATATATACATGCCTGTACACACACACACACACACACACACACACACGGTTATTCTAAGGCTCTCTCTCTCTCTATATATATATGTATATATGGTTTTTTTTTTCTCTTTCTTTTTTGCCAGAATTTTGCTTTTCTTGCCCAGGCTGGAGTGCAATGGTATGATCCTGGCTCCGGGGTTCTAGTGATTCTCCTGCCTCAGCCTCCTGAGTAGCTGGGATTACAGGCATGTGCCACCACACCTGACTAATTTTGTATTTTTAGTAGAGACGGGGTTTCACCATACTGGCCAGCCTGGTCTCAATCTCTCGACCTCTGGTCATCTGCCCACCTTGGCCTCCCACAGTGCTGGGATTACAGGTGTGAGCCACCGTGCCTGGCCAGAATAACCATATTTTTAATAAATGCCCCATAGACAATGATTTTGAATTCAAAATGTATTTCAAATTTGGTTTATTTTTCCCAATGCCGGTATGTCCGATCTGAAGTCAGGATGAACCACAGTACACTTACTAATGTGGCCTCAGATAATTCTGCCTGGCTGGCAGTTTCAAGATTGGTTGAATCCTGACCCTATTTTCAGAAGAAACTGGGCTTTGTCCCCTTGGCAAAAACGGGTCACCGACATGGTGCTTGGGCCAGAGGAGGGGCTGAGGTGGCAACTGTGGTGGCAGCACAGCTGCTGGGAGCCAGGAGTCTTGGTGGTTGGAAGAAGAGTATTTCTCAGCCAGCAATGTTCTTTGCACATCTTACTCAACATCTCTCCATGGAGCCAGGCCTTGTTGGGGGACTGTAATCTATAATGAGCACTCAGGAATACAAGGCTTTGGGAGGAGCCTACCTATCAGCCTCCTTCCCATGAGGTCAGTCTTCGTAGGCGGAAGGAATGGTGAGTGGCTTGGGAGTATGAGTGGGGTAGGGTGGGGAGAAGCACTTCTAGTGGTAGCCACTACAGATGTTCATCTAACTCTGAGGAAGGTGGGTCTGATTCACTCAGGTTTGAGATATGCAGGTTTGGGGGCAGAGTTAGATTTCTTAGGATCATGGAGGAGACAAAGCTGAACTGTACCCAGAGGCCAAGGATCAACATGGAACAGGACAGGCAATAGGTGGCTTGGGTCCACAGCTCAAGTAATTGCTCTGTCTGACAAGGGACAGATCTTTATTTTTGTTGGATACACAACCAGCTCAGCTGGTGGGAGATGTGGAGAGAAATTATGTGGATTCTAGTCTAGAATAGCTTCCATGATCTCCCTCACTTTTTCTTAGCTGATTATGAAATAGAAAATGCTTTGTATTTTAGGCTTTTGCTAACGTGTGCACTAAGCACCACTATGGAACTACCTTGGAGGGCAGTGTGAGCAAGTGTCACCTGGCTGGGGCCACTTTCTGTTTCCAAGTTCCAGTGCATGACAGTGCTCAGCCTCCCTTCCTCACCTCAAGAGGTCAGTCTGAGCTGTGCTGGCCACTTCTGCACCACAACATACACTGTGGTTAGAACAACTGCAGGTGACTGGCCTCATGTCATGGAGAACATCTTTGAAATTCTTTATGAGGTTTCAGTGTTGAAAAGCCACAGAAGGGTTTCATGGGAAGCACCTTAGGCACTTGGCTCAGCCATGAAATGAGAGGGTCAGCATGGCTGGGAGGGAATGAACAAGGGGCAGTGGAAAGAGATAAGGACAGAGGTATACTGGGAAGGCCAGGCCCTGGAGGGCCTGTGAGTCATGGTATGGACGTTGGTTTTTACGCTGAATGACATGGGGTCTGTTGGAGGGTTTGGGCCAAGGAGTGACATGAATGGACTTGTATTTATAAAGAATCATCTTGGCAGATGTGAGAGAGCAAAGGAAAGGGCAAAGCTGGAAGCAAAGATGCCAGGTAGGAGGCTTTTGCAATGGCACAAGCAAAAGATGATGGTGGCTTGAGCCCAGATCGGGGTGGAGGAGAGAGTGAGAAGTGGCCAGGTTGTGGAGACAGATATTTTAAAGGTAGAGCAGGCAGTATTTGCTAAGGAATTGGCAAGGAATGTGAGGGAAATAGAGGAGGCAAGAACAACAGCAAGGGTTTCTGTCTGGTCACCTAGATGACTGGAAGGATCAGGCCTGAGGGAGAGTTCATCAAGTCAGTTTCAGACATGCTAACTATCAAACCGAGTCAGGAAGCCACAGCTTCTGGTTTCAGTCTGGGCTCCGTTGCTCCAACTCCTTGGTTACAAGCATCCTCAACAACTGATGTGAAACCCACCTTGCACCGTGCACATTCTATAGCCTGTGAAGCAACACTGGGAGCTGACTGAAAAGCTTGACTACATTTACTACTAGCTATAACTGGATGTGGGACAGCTGAGCAACAAAATAGAAATTGTTCTCAGTGGCCCAGCAGGGTCAGGAAGGGATGTGGGTGTCACCAAAGAGCATAGACTATCCCTACCCTGACTTCCTGCTTCTAAGCTAACCTCAGCTTCTGAGCTCATAGAGGCATGCCAGTGGAGGGATTCTGTCTGGACTGATGAGTTCCCTTAGGTTTAAATCTAAGTGAGAGGTACCTAAACTGAGACCAATCCTTTAAAACACTGGTTTAAATCAGAGAATTGGTCATCAGTGCATATCTGAGGGGCTGCTGGGTGCAACACCCTGTGACCACCTCTAAACTGGATTGGTGTCTGGCTTCTTTCAACAGCATTGCAAAGCTGCAGTTGTCCTTAAAGACCTGTGAAAGGATGCAACTAAATCATTCTTTGCAACTAAATAATCACACTGGGCTTTTAAACATAAGGAAACGTTGAAAGCCTCTCACAATTAGTGGAGTGAATACTTGTAGCATTCGATGCTGTTGAGGTGATACTTTTAAGTTAAGTCCATCTTTAGAAATCTGATGATGGTATTTTGGATATTGGCTATATCCAATATTCAAAGCAAAAATCGAGTTTTTGTTTTTGTTCCCCTCTGAACAGACCTGTGGTAAATACACCTTCCGTTTCTGTCATAATATGACTTCTCCTGTGACTGTGACTTTGATTTTAAAGGATTCTGCTGAGTTTCACTGTAGAACTGTAGCGTGGTGTTGGTGTTTTGCCCGGAATCCTCCCGTCCTCACCCTTTTGGTTTTGGCCTCTTCCTGTCCAGCAACACTTGCACCAGCCACCTTCAGGTTCCTTGAGTCTGCCTTGCCTGCAGGCACAGAGAGCCAGTGGTAGTGTCTGGGAATGTTCCATCAGTCCCTCCTGCAGCTCTTGGCCAATGGCAACAGCTTCAGTAGTATAGAAAAGCCCAGTGCCCTTGCCTCATTACGGGACAACTCTCAGGGGTAACTTACATTCCAGAGCCCCACTGTGGGATCGGGTTGGGGGAGATTTTTCCTGATGCGACACCCTCGCTTGGATTTCTCCTCTTCCCCTACCTGTTCCTCCCACTCCCTTACTGGGCTCTCCTGAGAGCATGTTTTCAATCATTAATTTGCGCACACTTCATCTTCATCTCAGGGTCTGCTTCCAGGAAAACTAATCTAATAAAAATACTTTATCACAGAGTTTCCCAGACTGAGCACCAAACTGCCCCTGGATTGCAGAGAACTCTCAGGAGGCACTGTGAGACATTTTCAATTTTCTAAAAAAACAAACCCAGAAGCCCCCTCAGTGCTACTCAACATCCATCAGATATAGCATGAAAAACTGAAGGCAGTTTGTGATTTCAATGTTAGGTCACCCTCCCTTCCTTTAGCTGATGGCATATCTTTCACAAGCTGTATTTTCAGTGGTTGCGATGATTAAAAAAAAAATAAACAAGTGCTCTGTGAAAGTCAGGGGAAGAGAAAACAAGGAGGGTGAAGTCTAAACTGATTCCCAGGCTTGAGAAGTTGGTTTGTGCCCACTAATGCACACACCCCCATTAATAAATGAGTTTGGTTATGAACATCATCTTTTGATGTAATGTATTATTTTTTCCAATGGGTACCAAGTTGTTAGGGGATACGTTCTTACTAAGTTGGACCTACCTAAATTTTGGAACATTTAGCTATTTCTTTTGATCTTCTTACGTTACTATGAAATATGACTGGGTTAGTAAGGGTGGTGGCATGAACCATATAAGTTTGAGGGGCCCCCCCTCCACACTGATAAAAATGGTTTAAATGTGTTTTGAATTAAAATGGGTCAAGCATTCAAGTACCAAATAACAGTCCCCAGGGCAAAAAATCTAAGTGCTGCTCATGTTCATTATACTCCTTCATAGCCTTGCATTTTTATGAATTGTCACACTGGGCTTTTAAACATGAACATGTTCTGTTGTTTTCCTTTTTCAGAGAGTGGGTTAATCGAGCCCCATCTATTCATTTTCTGAGAGTGTTAATCTGTCTGAGGCTGCTAATGAGGGATCCATGCTATCAGGTTGGTTGAAAAAGTAATTTTTTTTACTTGTTATAAAGATGAAATAAAAAACTAGTGGGCTTTTCTTTGAAGTAGTCCATATTTACTTTTTGTTTTCTCTCTCACAACTCAATACCTTCTGTATATGGGGAATATCTCATGTACTATTTAAAAAGATTGGAGAGGAGTATTTTAATGGAGATAAAAATTTGTATATTTCTGTTGTATTACTTACAGAATTAAGTGGATTGAACTTTTGGTCTATGTTTTCATTGTGAGCTGGCATTTTAAACCATTTACTGTTCAAGGAGGTATGCACTTGGCCACATCTTCAAACGTGTTCAAGGCCAAGCAGCTCCCTAGGTCAAAGTCAGCAGTGATGAGTAGCAGCCTGCTCATGTTGCTGAGACGCAGCCAGTGGAAAGCCACGGCCTGCAGCTTTACTATCTGCTCTAGGGTCAATCCCTTCCCAACCTGCAGCATCAAATTTGAGTTAGAGGTGAGCAAGGAGTGTCCTACTTGTCTCAGAGGAGGGTACTGAGGTCAAGAATCTTTTTCTGGCTGGGCGAGGTGGCTCAGGTCTATAATCCTAGCACACTGGAAGGCTGAGGTGGGTGGATCACCTGAAGTCAGGAGTTTGAGACCAGCCTGGCCAACATGGTGAAACCCTGTCTCTACTAAAAATACAAAAAACTTAGCTGGACATGGGTGTGTGCACCTGTAGTCCTAGCTACTCAGGAGGCTGAGGAGGGGCAATGGCTTAAACCTGGGAGGTGGAGGTTGCAGTGAGCCAAGATGGGGCCACTGCACTCCAGCCTGGGTGACAGAGTGAGATTCCATCTCAAAAACAAACAAACAAAAGAATCTTTTCCTTCTTTCAGTAGTTAATTTAATATGCTGCTGCCTCTGTTTTTTTTTTTTTTTTTTTTTTTTAGATAGAGTTTCACTTTTGTTGCCCAGGATGAAATGCAATGGTGTTATCTCAGCTCACTGCAGCCTCCACCTCCCTGGTTCAAGTGATTCTCCTGCCTCAGTCTCCCAAGTAGCTGGGACTACGGGAGTAGCACCACCATGCCCGGCTAAATTTTGTATATTTAGTAGAGATGGGGTTTTATCATGTTGGCCAGGCTGGTCTTGAACTCCTGACCTCAGAGGATCTTCCAGCCTCAGCCTCCCAAAGTGCTGAGATTACAGGCATGAGCAACTACACCCGGCCTCTGTTTACAGTGCCTCTCTAACTTCAACGTGCATGGGAATTACCTGGACATCTTGTACGTGCAGATCCTGATTCAGTAGGTATAAACTGGGGCCCAAGATTCTTCATTTTAACAAATTTTGTAGGGATGTTATTGCTACTAGTTCACGGCCCACACTTTGAGTAGCAAAGACATAGTGCTTTAGCAGTAAGGCTCTAAAGAAAAGCTTACTTAACACATTTTTTTTTTAACCTAAAAACTATCTCTTTTTATCCCCTGTCCTCATAAGCTGCTAGGAAGCTCACACTTTTAATTCTGCACTTGATTTTATTGATGAATTCTTATTTGAGTCAGAATGTGTTTCCTTGAAGTGCCAAGTCTGGAAAAGTAACCATCTTTTCCAAACTTGGCATTTTTTTTTCTTTTTTTTGAGACGGAGTTTCGCTCTTGTTACCCAGGCTGGAGTGCAATGGCACAATCTCGGCTCACCGCAACCTCCGCCTCCTGGGTTCAGGCAATTCTCCTGCCTCAGCCTCCCAAGTAGCCGGGACTATAGGCGTGCGCCACCATGCCCAGCTAATTTTTGTATTTTTAGTAGAGATGGGGTTTCACCTTGTTAACCAGGATGGTCTCAATCTCTTGACCTCATGATCCACCTGCCTCGGCCTCCCAAAGTGCTGGGATTATAGGCGTGAGCCACCATGCCTGGTCCCCAAACTTGGCATTTAAGAAAGTGTTTTGGTACCAACCAGGTACAGAGCCTGCTCTGATTGGACTCTTGTGGGATTCATGGGTATTACACATCCTTCCATGAGCAGAATGGTCCTCTTCCTCATATTGTATTCTAAACTGGCCTTGTGCTATTATAGTTTAGCTAACCACAACCCTTAGGATATGTGAACCAGGGCATACTTGAAATGGTTTTCTGTCCCGGTTGCTCACAGTTTTCTGGGTAGGTAAGCATCCTTATTTTCCTGTGACCAACCGTACGGAACTGTGTGTTCCATACATTTCTGAGCTGCTTTTTGCAATTCTGTTTGGGGATGGGCCATATGTTTCCTTTTGCCTGGATCAGTCTTATTACCTGCTCGCTGTTGCTACCTAATTATTAATAGCACTCTCTTTCATTCCCCAATACATCTCAGTTTGGATGAAAACATTGTATGTGTAATATTTATGAAGTTTTTCAGGAGGAAAGTCCAGTTAATCTGACTAGAACTAGCAAATATTTGCCCTAGAGATGTTCTATTTGTTCAGAAAAACTGTTGATAAGGGTGTCGTACTTTGCTGATCTCCCATCTAAAGTTCTGCCTTTCTTAGTCTTGTTCTGGGTAGATTGGAACAGGGTTGATTGTATTGCCCTCTGAAGGAAAGAATTCAGAGACGACTTTGTTTATGAGATTTTGCGACCAAGACACACATTAAACGAATATTGTCCTGCTGGCGAGCCTTTCCATAGAAGGGAATTATCTCTGAGTCTGTCCTCCCTGGCACTCTCTCCACACAGAAGACCACGTGCTCAGGCAGTTGTTTAACATCTTGAGGTGCCAAGAATTGTTGGCTGTAGTCACAAAGCTATGCTGGGGTTTACTACAACTTATGAATTACGCCAGTGACTCTCAGCATGACTTTGTCATGGGTATTTGTTCCTTTCCTCTCTTGTTCAGTGTTGCAGGGTCCATAGCAGCTCTTCAAACCATCTTCACCTTTCTCACCCAAACCCTCTCCTGCCGCTGCTGTTCTCATCAAATTGTATCATCCTCTGTTTTACAGGGAAGTCCAAAGCCATCCCAGTGGAGCTGTCTTATTTTCTCCTCATTGTTCGAAATATTTGGGTTAATCTGCAACTTTACTTCTCTCATATTTCGAAAGTAATATTCCTCCTCCTGGCCAAGTCTTAACCTTCTACCTGCTGTCTTTCTATTTTCCCTTATCACAAAAATATTCTTCTCTTGATCCAGCCATTCCTTCAAGTCTTCATCCTCTTTTCATACTATATTTCTGCAAAGCCCAGGCTATGTCTCTTGAATCCAGTTCCTTTGCCCCAGGACTGATGTATTATACAACTTGCACGTTGAATTCTGGGTGCAAGGTTCCCTCTGGAAACCATTTAAATAGAACACACTGTGCCGTGCTTCAGTCCTCATTCCTTGACGCAGAGGTTGCAAGCTAGTGGCTTGTAGACTGGATCCTGCCTGCCGGCAGAGTTTCCATTATATGTTTAGTGAATGTTCCAGCAAGGAAAGACTGGAAGGAATGAAGAGAAGCCATTTTGAAGATAGAATTGTTTATAGAGTCTTTTCAGAATTAAAGGAAGGGCACCTATTGAGATTTCAGTTGCAGCTGGAGTCCTAAGCAGGATAAAGATAAACATTCACCTCGATTCATTATAGCAAAGCCATAGCACGTTGCTTATCAAAGATAAAGAGAAAACCTTAAAAGATCCTGAATTGCAATTATGTTAGAAACAATAATAAAAATTGTTGGATTGAGTAGTCTTCTCTCAGGCTTACATACCCCAATCTGTTTTTAGCAGGAGACACATTTTACCACGTTTTCTGTTTGCCTGTAGTGATCCTGAGAACCTCTAGCTTTTATTCAGCATTTTCTTGATATTATTTACATGTTCTGTTCTTAATCTTGTCTTCCTAAATACCCTTCCTCAAAGTTTTTTTTTCCCTTTATTGTCTTCTCCCATATCTTCCAAGCTCTTGGCTTCAACTATCTTTTTGTTGTTGTTTATTCACAAGTTCCTATCTTCAGTCTCAAGCTTTCTTCTTCAAGTCCCAAGTTTCCACAGACATGTTAGACAAATACCTCAATGATGCCATAGCATAGTGGTTCTCAATGTATGGTCCCATGTACTGTTTACAGGTCTCTGAAACCCTTTCAGGGGTTCCACAAGATCAAAACTGTCTTCAACATGATGCTAAATGATTCTAAATGATGTTATTTGTCTTTTCACTCTCTCTCACACATGTGCAGTTGAATTTTCCCTAAGCTACACAACCTCTCATGACTCTGGCAGCTGATGGAACATGTATATTGTGCATTCTTGTGTTTTAAAAATTTATCACTTTTAATTTCTAATGCAATAAATACAAACAGATACTTTTTTTTTTTTTGAGACGGAGTTTCGCTCTTGTTACCCAGGCTGGGGTGCAATGGGGTGATCTCGGCTCACCACAACCTCCGCCTCCTAGGTTCAGGCAATTCTCCTGCCTCAGCCTCCTGAGTAGCTGGGATTACAGGCACACGCCACCGTGCCCAGCTAATTTTTTGTGTTTTTAGTAGAGACGGGGTTTCACCATGTTGACCAGGATGGTCTCGATCTCTTGACCTCGTGATCCACCCGCCTCAGCCTCCCAAAGTGCTGGGATTACAGGTGTGAACCACCGCTCCTGGCCTATAGATAACTTTCTAACCCATATAAACAAAAGCTCTTCAAAGTTCACAGTAATTTTTTATTTTTTGAGACAGAGTCTCACTCTGTTGTCAGGCACCAGGCTGGAGTGCAGTGGGGCAATCTCGGCTCACTGAAACCTTCGCCTCCCGAGTTGAAGCAATTCTCCTGCCTCAGCCTCCAGGGTAGCTGGGACTACAGGCATGCGCTACCACGCCCAGCTAATTTTTGTATTTTTAGTAGAGATGGGGTTTCACCATGTTGGCCAGGATGGTCTCCATCACTTGACCTCGTGATCCGCCCGCCTCGGCCTCCCAAAGTGCTGGGATTACAGGCTTGAGTCACCGTGCTCCGCCGGTTCTTAGTCATTTTTAAGAGCGTAAAGAGGTTTGAGACCAAAACTTTGAGAATAACTTGTAGAATATTATACTCAGTAACTTTAAAACGGAGCTCTGCAGTTCTTCCCCTCATCCTTGAACTTTTGGAATCAATTTCTGATTCTTTTATTTTTTTTTCCTGATTCTTTTAATGGCACCATATTTTGTCAGACTGAGGGTAGAAAACTTTAGAAGCATCTATTTCCTTTATTCTCATCGTCCTACAAATCGAGTATACCAAGCCTTTTAGAAGAGTGGTTACTGTTCCAAACCTAGAAAGATAGGTAAAGGCCAGTCCACAGAGGGGCATTAAAATCATAACCAAGGAATAAGCTTTGTGGAGCCACTGATGATTTTTGAACAGAGGAGTAAATTACATGCCAGTGAGTCAGTGTTAGAGGATGTGCAGGGTGTTCCGCTTTCGTTGATTTAGTTGCCGCATAGGTTTAGGATGAGTGCACCTAAACGGAAATGACAGTTTTGGTGGTAATAAAAATACACTGGCATAATGTGCCCCATTTTTAAAAACATGCTTTTTGCCAGTATTGTATTATTGGCTCTATTTGTTAAAAAAGGAGCAATTCAGGGGGTAAGCTTAGCAAGGACATTGTTCACCTTTACAGATTGAACTGAAGTTCAGATTCACTAGGGGACTTTCTCCAGGTCATTGGGCTCAGAAATACAGAAACCAGTTTTATGACCTTCTGGCCTGGACAGGAAAAGATGCTGAGGGCTGAAAGGGCACACAGGACGCGTTGCTGTAATCTAAGCTTGCGGTCCTATTTGCTTTTCAGAACTGTTAAGCCCCTGTGTATACATACCTTGTAGTCATGGTTTTCTTTAGTTTACACTCTCAGGTTAGCACAGTTCTGTTGGTAGAAGGAAAGGAAATGCAAAGAACACCGGGGCCTGTGAGCGATCTCCTGGCCTTGCTCCACCTTCCAAGGAGCATGGAGGGAAAGCGTTCATTTCATACATGAAGGTTAAATTCTTGAGTACATAATGTAATGACAAACTTCTCTAAGAGGGAGTAAGCGCCTTTCTCATGCCTCTACTTTATAGCAGCACTTCTCAAATTTTATTCCACGGGAGTAATACATGTTCTGGGAGACGAACTGTGCTTTCCTGAGGGATGTTTAGGAAAAGCTGCACACTAGTTTTTCTTTTAGAGACTTGTCGTGCACAGCAGCTCTAAAGAGTCCTGATAGAGAATTTGTTAAATTTGTTTTACTTAACATTCCCCAAGCTGATTGGATTATGAAACTCTTTCTCTGTTTTTTTTTTTTAAAATGCCTAATTCCATCCAAATCTCATGGTTTGGGAAACATTGACTTAGCCCCATATCATCAAAATTATTGAATAATTTTTTTTTTTTGAGATGGAGTTTTGCCCTTGTTGCCAAGGCTGGAGTTCAATGGTGCAATCTCAGCTCACTGCAACCTCTGCCTCCCAGGTTCAAGTGATTCTCCTGCCTCCCGAGTAGCTGAGATTACAAGCATATGCCACCATGCCTGGCTAATTTTGTGTTTCTTAGTAGAGACAGAGTTTCTCCATGTTTGTCAGCCTTGTCTTGAACTCCCGACCTCAGGTGATCCACCTGCCTCGGCCTCCCAAAGTACTGGGATTACAGGTGTGAGCCACTGTGCCTGGCCTGAATAAATTTCTTGTCATGGCAAACATTTAAAAATACCATTACCATGACCATTTAAACATTATTCTCTTCTTTGGTGTCATCCTACTCCCAAGCTTCAGATGAATCTCCTTCATGTGAATGGCTCCCAGGTTTTCATCTTTTGCCTTCACCTTACTTTCTGTGGCCTGTTGTATGTTTTTTATCTGGGCCTCCCATCAGCATGGCCACATGTTCAAAATAGAGTCTTCTCTATCCTAGTCTATTCCTTTCTCTTTCCCTGAGTTCGTTAATTATGACATTGCTCCCAGTCACTCCCACTCAAATAGGCTGATGTCTTCGACTTTGCTTCTTTTCTTGTGATCTTTCTTCATGTTCAGTTGATCATATAGCTTCAAATACTACCCCTTTCTCTCCATTCTTATTCTTGCTGTCACTGACCGTCAATTGAGCTCCAGGTGACACCCTTCCAGCCTCCAGTTCATACTACGACTAGGAGGAAGTCCCCACAGCTAATTCTGGCCAGTCCCTTGCTCACACATTTTCACTAGGTATCATGGTCTGCATGAAAACCTTCAAATTTGGGCTCACATCTAAGTCCTCCCACAGTGTGAATCCACCCTATTTTCTAACATTTTTTTTCCCAGTAAGGCTCCCCATGGCATTAAGGAGCTGCTTCTCTCAGAGTTACAGCATGTCTTGATGTTTTGTCTGCACAATTTCTACTCACCTTTGAGCCTCCCGTTCTCTTTGCTGGAATCTCCTTTATTTTTACCTGTTCCCGATCTTTACTCAGCAAATCCATCCATCCTTCCAGGCCCCAGTTAGAGACCACCACCCACATGATGTGTCTCTTAGTCCTCTCGGCAGGAATGAGGTGTCTCTGTTCTGGCCCCTTGCAACACTGCATGTGTAATTTACTTTTAACACTTACCTCATTCTGTCTTAAGTTCTAGTTGTATGTATACCCACCTTATTATGCTTGCTTACAGCTCAGCAAAGGGCACCCTGCCATCTACATGTTTATATCTCCTGCAGAGTCAGGGTTTTTACATAGGTAGAATGAAAAAACTGTTTGTTGATTAAATATAACTGGTTTTAAATGTTACTTTAATTTGTATGTGCATGAAATATTCTACTATAAATAGAGATCATATGTACAATATTCTCACTCTTTAATTATAGCTCTTCTAGAGTGAATAGCATTGATGAGTCTTCAAATCAGTAGGTAGTCATTGAAGTATATTGAGTTCTGAATGTTCTTTTTAAATTTAATTTAGATGTAAGCATGTTCCGTATTTCCAAGTTCACTTTACACAGTGTATGAAAACCTTGACCGAGGAGGCCTTAAGAGGAAAAGGCCCCTGTGCCTTTCCCTAGACTGCCCACCCGCTGGCTTCGTGGCAGAACTAGACTGTTCTCTCTCACGCTCATGTACTGGTTCCTGTGCATTTCCCAGAATTGAAAAGATGACTCCTGTTTATATTTCAAATAACTTCCTTGTGTATGTGTGAAGTAAGGAGAGAGATGTCAATACAGATGTAATTAAGCAGGTTAAAGCCACCTGACAACCTTTGCCTATAGATAAATGACAGTGTAACCTAAGAGCACTTACTATCAGTAGAGCTCCAGGCTGGTCCATTTCACAATTTAAAGTCCTGTATCAGGAGACATTGTCAAAAATTATCTTTACATTGATTTAGAGCATGGGTTCAATAAGATCATTAGCCTAATAATTTTGAGAGGCTCTTTCTCTCCTGGAACAGTGCTTCCCAAACTGTACTGTACATGTGTATGACCTGGAGATCTGGTTAAAACTGAGTGTGATTGAGCAGGTCTGGGGTGGGAACAGGATTCTGCATTGCTGATCAGTTCCCAGGTGATGCAGGTGCTGCCGGTTCATGGACCACACTAGGTAGAGACCTAGAAGAGGGTTCTTGGAGTTGGGTGATGCTATTCTCATCCAGGCTCATCAGTTATAACACAAAATGGTTTTCTTTCTGTGTCTTGGTTTTCCTCATCTGTAACATGAGAATATTGAATGAAATGGTGTCTAATGGCTCTTTTCAACTCTAACATTTTAGGATGACACAGGAGGAGGTAGGAAGAATGAGTGGGCGGGCTGCAGTTCTGAGCACAGATTCATTCTCTGAATCTCAACCCAACTGTCGTCATATTTATTAATAGTTTATTTTAAAGGTCGTATGAACAACATCCCCTAAGTTTTCAATATATATGTATTAGAATGTAGACCTTCACAAAATAATCATAACTATGACAACTTAGTAAAGAAATCGCATGTGAAATATACATCCCCCCCACTCTCATCATTTACATGTGTTTTCTTGCTTTTATTTTATTAGGAAATACTCCATAGCTTGGGTGGGATTGAAAATCTGGCTCAGGTAAGATTCCTTTTGTGGTGGCCAGTCTTGGCTTTTCATTTTGTGCCATACTCTCAGCAAGAATTAAATGGGTATGTGCCATACTCTGAGCAAGAATTAAATGGGTATGTGACAGAAGATGGCTTTCCTATGTTATGTGGTCTGCCCCAGAGAGGGACAGATGGAGCTGATAAGTGAGAGTGTGAGGCATGATACTCACAGAACAGGGAGGAACCCATGACATTTTGTGTTGGCCGATTAGGCTCACTTTACTCAGCCTGTTGAAATGACAAAGTGCTATAAAAGGTCACATGTCTTTAGCTAGTAATAATAAGAAATAGGTGGCCAGGCATGGTGGCTCTCACTTGTAATCATAGCACTTTGGGAGGCTGAAGTGGGTGGATCACATGAGGTCAGGAGTTGGAGACCAGCCTGGCCAACATGGCGAAACCCTGTCTTTACTAAAAATATAAAAATTAGCCAGGCATGGTGGTGGGCGCCTATAATTCCAGCTACTCTGGAGGCTGACGCAGGAGAATCACTTGAACCTGGGGGGGCTGGAGGTTGCAGTGAGCCAAGATTGTGCCACTGCACTCCAGCCTGGGCGAAAGAGCGAAACTCCATCTCAAAAAAAGAAAAAAAAAAGGAAAAAAATGTAATAGGCAGTGTCTGGAAGGCTCAAGCCCTTAGCATCGTATATACAATATGGTGGGAGGTAAGGAAATACATACATATATATGTATATTTGAGACGGTATCTTACTGTGTTGCTTAGGCTGGTCCCAAAATGCTGGGTCCAAGCAATCCTCCTGCTTCAGCCTACTGAGTAGCTGGGATTATAGGTGTGTGCCACTGGGTCTGGCAAGATAAGAAACTGATTATGAAGATGTTCAAAATTTTTTCACACAAGAAAAGGATTATTGTGCTCACTAAAATACTATTAAATAGATGACAAAGGAATGATCTTGACCTTGTTTATTTTTCTGCCTTTCTAACTACTGAGGGAGGGTAAGCAAGTGAATATATGTACTGGGCAACTCAGAGGATTGCATTTATTAATACCACAAAGCAAAATTTCTTTCTTTTCTTTATTTTTTTTTTTTCGAGACAGAGTCTCACTCCATCACCCAGGCTGGAGTGCAGTGGTGTGATCACAGCTTCCTGCAACCTCTGCTTTTTGGATTCAAGCAATTCTCGTGTTGCAGCCTCCCAATAGCTGCGATTACAGGCATGTGCAACCACGCCCGGATCATTTTTTTGGTATTTTTAATAGAGACAGGGCTCCATCATCTCCCCAGGCTGGAATAAAATGAAATTTCTGATCATGTTTTTGAGTTGGAACAGCCTAGTCTCCTAAAGCCTGTAATGTGTACAGAGAGAATGATTTTCATAATAAATCTGTGGCCCTGCAAACTTAGTCTGAATAGTTAATGGAAGATTGAGTTTGTGGCAATTTAACATTAAATCTATTTTATTATATTCTTATTCTTAGAAAATTGATTCATGCTTATTTTTTGTTTTCAAGAACCTTTTAAAATTGACTAGAGGTTTACCTCATTTAATAACATAATATGTCATAAGATTATATTGCAAAGTATCTTCCTACCCATTTTTAACTTCCATTATAATATTAGAAATTACATGTTTCCCTGAGCCTGTTTCTTATTATCAATTATCCACAGAGGGAATTATCAGACTACTCAGTACGCATTTTATTCTGATTATTGCTAACTGCATGTATGCTGGTTAGATATATGTGCAGATATTATAAAATATAACATTAATAAAATATATACAATGTGTTATAATAAATTATCCTAAAAAGATGCATTGAAGAGTGAACATTCTATATACTATGTATTATGTATCTTATATGTATCTTGTATTTAGATACTAAATTACACCACAAACTTACTTAGTTAAGAGTCATTTTGAGACTTTCAAGAGTTTATAGTCTTTAGATGGCCTTTCCTCAACTTTGCCTAGAAACCCATTCGCACTTAACCCATTGCTCCTGGCAAGTCCCAGGACCATGAGTATTGTTTGATGAATCTATTGTGCCACCTACAGCTTATTTTAAGAACTGCACAATCTTGTTCTTGGGTCCTTGCGTGCTTTTGGTGTCCTGACTGGCTTGTTGGTTTGGTCCTTCATGCAGTACATGGAGATTGTAGCAAATGAGTACCTCAGCTATGGAGAAGAGCAGCACAGTGTGGACAAGCTGGTCAACATGACATGTAAGTGTTGAGCATCCATGCCAATTGTTATATTCAGTGGCCACGTATATCCAGAGGGAAGATGTTTAGATTACAGCTCTTACCTTGAAAAGCACAATTTATTTAATGCAAGAGAGGCTTCCATAAAAGCACATTTTGGTAAAAACTATTTTTGCCTTCTTTTATTTCTGTTAAAATGTCAGAGACTATTCAGGTTTTTTTTCCTATAAAATTGGGCTAATAATGATACCTGCCTTGTAGAATCAGAAACATCCAGAGCATGAAAACGAAAAATCACAACTACAAACCTTGTCTGATGATGCTAACATGCAAATGTTGGGCTCTGAGTGTGAGGTATTCCTTAGTCACTCCATCTTCTGTCGTTGGAGGCAGCCCTGCTGTCCTGCACTCCAGCTTTGATGAGCCATAGACGTCCTGCCATGTGGGATGCCAGTCCATTGTCTTTGTGTGAATCCACTGGCTCTCCATATCTGCCTGTGGAGCAGACAGTGTCCTCAGGTCCAGGGACAGAAGAGTTTGTGGCAAAGCCCTGGGCACCAGGAAGTCTCTTCGAGGATAACTGTTTTCCTCAGCTGAGGAAACTTATAGGTTCATCTCATTTGCTGGCTTCCCTCTCTTCTTTATAAGTTGAAATCTTCACAGAGAGGACCTTTGAAGAATAGGTTTGACTTTGAACTGGTAATGATGTTAAGGAACTTGTTCAACTTTAAGTGGAAAGAGAGGTTTGCCTTTTTTGGCATTTTCATATTTCATTATTATAATCATATTATACAGTAAGTAGCAGTGGAGCTTGAGGGGTGGTTCTTGGGGTAAAAATATAGCCATGCTGCTCCTGCATCTGTTGTTCCTTTCGTGCTGACAGTGTTCCCTTTGCCCTTTCTCTGCCTGCCTGTCAGTGCTGCAGGTCTATGCTCCCGGGAGCACTCCCCCTTTAATCTCCAGATACCTCTTTGCACTCTTTCTTTCCTTTATAGATATTTTTCAAAAACTTGCTGCGGTCAAAGATCAAAGAGAATGGGTCACCACAAGCGGAGCTCACAAGGTGAGTGAAAGAGTTAATGCTTTGGCTCCATATGGCAATAGTTCACATTGGGAAGGTTCAGAGCCTTTGTGGGTAAGTCATGTGTCGTCAGAACCCACAAACCTGCCAGCCTGGCCTAACATGATGAATCTTTGTCAACCTTTTTATATTCTTTACCAGCCTTACAAGTTAACACAGATGTAATAAATACAAGTTTTCTGGAACCCTTTTCTTTTTTTTTTCTATGCCATTTAATACTAACTAGGTTTATTACTTAAATGTTGTTTAGAAAGCCTGGCTATGTATAAACTCATGCTAGGTGTGAGTTTATAAATAAGTCAATAAAAATAAACAAAACGTACATATGTATATGTATAAATAAACTCCATATGGCATGTGGGGCTATATTAGTTTGAACTATATGCGATTGCCATTGTAGGTCAAAACAGACTATATTTATAGAAAAACTGTTTAGATTGTAGCCATGTGGAGCCAAGTTTCAGTAACCTGTTGAGTTTCATATCCCAGGAAGCCACTTTCTAGTGTATATGGGAGCAAGATTGCCTAAAATGTGTTAACACATGCTGCTCATGGTCTAGAGGATGATTCTAGGTGATACACAGGTCAATATTTTTTGTTTCAGTAGCCATCTATTTTATAGATATTGTTGCTTACGATTGGAATTTTTTTTTGAGTTCACATTAAGATGTTAATTGAATATGGCAAAAATTGTGAAAACAATATGCGATGGACTGAAGTTTGGGAAACATTAGAAGACAGAGAAGAAGAAGAGAAATAAGAAAAAGAGGAGGGCATCAGAGAAACAAAGATAATGACTTCATCAAGATAAAATGAATCATAAAGGCAACAAATCTATATACTGGAAACATCAAAATTATCTTAGCAGTCTTTGCACAGGTTGCATCTCTGACCTGGGACATTATGGGGGAACTGTTCAGGGGCACTCTCCATTCTGAAAATGTAGAGAATTTTCCAAATAAGAACATTTGTCTTGATGAGAATTCAGGGAAAGCCACTGGCAAGATACACACTTCCAGCTAAGTCATGTTACTTAGGGTGATGCTTGGGAACATTAGTGTTGCATTTTCAACATTAATTAGAAATCTGAGAGGCAAACTGAATGCTCAATAGTGTTCGTATCTCGTTTAGTTTGGCAAAAGAGTAAAATTTCAACATTTTGTTAAAAAATAATTTCATAATTTGGAAAGTGCCTTGCACAATGCCTGGCTCAGGTGAGTTCTCAATGGCTGATCACTACCAGTATTGTAATTTATGTCATTAATCTTTGATTCTCTCCGGGGTGGGATCAGAAGGGGCAGAGAATATTTTGGCACAGTGACATAGAGGGAGGTATGAGAACCAGGCTGGTCATGTGGCTTGATGTCTTCTTCTTCTCGTCCTGAGCAAGGAATGGCTACAAGAGTTACTCTCAAGAGTTCCCAAGTAAGGAGGGATAGACTCCTGCCATCTATAAGGAACTGGATATTCTGAATGTTTAATAAAACTCTTTTTAAGAATAAACTTTTATATTGACTGCAAAAAATAAAAAAGAAACTGCATAACGCTTGATAGAGCATAATATTTTTTCACTATTGTATAGATAAAGCCATAATAAAATAAACAATTTGATTATATTGACAATATATTGACAAGTGTTTATAAAGCCATATTTAATGCCATGGAAAAATTTCAGTAGATAACATTAAGAAAAAAATGTAAGAGAGAGCAGCTTTAACATTATACATATAGTTTGTGCTTAAATGTATGTGCACTTGCATTGTAAACAACTAAGCAAAAAAAAAGAGAAAAAGAAAAAAGGTTAAGCCAATCTTGAGAGGGAATCATTTTGCTATGCAAGAAGCTGGTAATAGAAAATCAATAAATATTAATGTTGGAAAAAGAAGCTTGTAGTACTTGTATAAGTAACCTTTATTTTACTTCATTTTTCAGACATTAGTAAACTTACTTGGTGCCCGAGATACTAATGTTCTATTGGGTTCCCTTCTGGCTCTGGCTAGTTTAGCAGAAAGGTACGTAGTGTGTTCTAATATACTTTCCAGTTCTGCTGCTATAGCAATTTAGGTGGGAGGGATGCAAAACAGATCAGTTACTTTGTCAACTACTTAATAACATTTCCTGATAAATAACTGTGAAATAACATGTGGAATAGGGTCCTGGATAGAAAGCATCATTTAAAAGTTTACATTGGAAAGGCAAGTTGTAGTTTAAAATTTTCTTTTTATTTCCTGAGCAGAAATGTTTACTTAGTCTTTTTCTCTAACGTCAGTTACTTCTAATTTTAAAATTACCATAATATTTCTTTGGCAGTTAAAGCTTTCTGACCTTTTAAATTCATTCTTACCTGTGTATTTTAACATACAGAACATTTTCAAACATTTGTGGGCTTTGAAAAAATTTCAAGATCTTTCCTGTTATAAATGTCATGATTATTTTAAATGTTTTTATGACAATAAGTGGACCATTGCTTTTCTGTGAATAACATATGATGCCTTTTGTTTTTTCGATCTCTTCTCCTGAGATAATATTGGAGCTAGGATATTAAATAAGTGAATTTACATGGTCAGGCTTTGTGTCCTCACCCAAATCTCATCTTGAATTGTAATCCCTCTAACTCCCATAATTCCCACGTCAAGGGAGAGACAAGGTGGAGGTGACTGAATCATGGGGCAGGTTTCCTCCTTGCTGTTCTCATGATAGTGAGTGAGTTTTAATGAGATCTGATGGTTTTATGAGGGGCTCTTCCCCCTTTGCTCTGCACTTCTTCCTGCTGCCTCGTGAAGAAGGTGCCTTGCATCCCATCTTCTGCCATGACTGTAAGTTGCCTGAGGCCTCCCTAGCCATGCTGAACAGTGAGTCAATTCAACGTCTTTCCTTTACGTATCACCCAGTCTCAGGCAGTTCTTTATACCAGTATGAAAAAGGATTAATACATGGATGTAGCAAAATTTGTTTTTAGTAATTGTTAATATTTTTCAATTTATAGTCCAGAATGTAGGGAGAAGATAAGTGAACTGAACATTGTAGAAAATCTGTTGATGATTTTACATGAATATGACTTGCTTTCTAAAAGGTAGGATTGCTAACAGGAGAAGACAATGCAGTGCCTTTTATTTGACAGACACACTTGTTATTATTTTTATTATGCCATGTTATTTTCTTGTAACTGAATATAATGAGTCAGCTTGGCTTTTATTTTCGATTTAAGTCTGTATAAGAAAAATAGAACAAGGAGGTATATCCATTTATTTTTAGTCCTGCATTACTTCTAGATATAGTCGTAGAAGCTGATAAAATAAATTTTGTGATACCATCTTTAATGTTTTGTTTATTGCATTTATTTATATCCTGCCTTTTTAGGGAAAGAAACTCTGAGGTGGCTCTATTTTTAGTAATTTCCAGTTGTATATTGCAATAAATAATTAGATTGCTAAAATCCATTTGCTTTAAGGCAAGTAAAATAAATTAAGATAGAACTGACTTGTTTTGCGATCACCTGCTATCATAACTCGAAATAAAATCTAGACCAAAATGGATTCATTTTTACTTGAACTGCATATTGTTCTGAAGAATTACTCCATCCAGATAGTATTTAGATTGTGTTTAAATAGAGTTGCAATCTACATCGTTTGCTATTTACTTGAGTAATTTTCTGAAGAGGCAAAATAGATAAAAAGAAACCTCAAGCAATGAAGCCCCGACACTTAACTCATAGAAAAACCTTTGGATTCTTCTTCAAAACTCTTGTAAAAGGGCATTAACTATAGATAATACTTATAGACTTGGTTATCTGAACAAACGGGTTCTAAACTCTGTGCCAGATGTTGAAAACCAAGGATGAATAAATTATAAATGTGTAGCATAGGAGAGGGTCAGACAGTGCTATCGTTAATACAGTAGACAGATGCGCAGGCTGCTCTGGGAACGTAGAGCAGAGACTTCCCAATTAGAATGTGAGGTCATGCAAGGTTTCCTGGAGGAAAGAGGAGATATCTAGGCAGAGAGAGAGAGAAAGTAAAAACAGAATGGGCTTGGACATGGAGTCATGACATTGGCTGTATTAGAGGAATGTGCGTGGTTGGGCACATGAAGAGCACAGGAAGGAAAACGCCAGAGAACTAGAGCAGATAGTTAATGATGAATTTAAAATGCAGCTAACTTTGATCAATGTTCTCTATATGCAAAGATCTGCTCTAAGCACTTTGCATGTTGACTCATGTGATCTGCACACTAACTCTGTTTTTCCCATATTTTATAGATAAGGCAACAGGACACCTTTATCCAAGTCATGATGTTTATGATAAAATTCACATTTTTTATCATCTTTATTTATCAAACAGATAAATATTTATCAAACAGATAAAGATGTAAATTTTGTCATGAACACTGTGGGAACTAACAGAACAATTTTAAGCATGATCAAATTTATTTTTTGAATGATCACTCTGATAGCAGTGTATGTGGGAGTGAGGTGGGGGGTGTTTGTTTAGATCCACACATTGAGATTCACTTACAACAAGAAGATGATGTTTGGTGTAGAAAGTCTGTGAAGGTAAAGAATTCTCTTCATCAAGGAACATGTGCTATTAATTTTGTCAGAGCAGAAAATTTGGGAAGTAGAGGAGACATAGATAATCAGCTCAGGGGAAAGGAATGAGAAAGCAGTGTGAGAATGAGAATATTGGAGAGGTAGATGAAAGAAGGGTTTATATCTTGAGGGTGAGCGAGGATTCCAAGGATGGGAGGAGCAGTGGGGTTAACTAGCTGTGCCCAGGAAATGGAACACACTAAGAGCTCTTGATTGACAGTGGAGGAGTGTGAAAAGAGGAGTGTGTGTCTTGATGACTCCCAGCCTTGTGGCTTGGGAAATTGAAAATATTGTGGTGCCATGAGTCAAGATTGGGGATAAAAGGTGAATAATAGACCTGGGGAGGAAGCCAATGGCTTTGAGTTTAGGGTAGTGTGGTGAGTACTTGTAGAGCATCACTGTGGCTGACACTTCTGGAGGTTAGGAGCAAAGTCTGGGCTGAGATCATGACGACAAGGTAGAAAGAGTGAAATCACGGGAATGGATGACACCATCCCGGAGGAGGAATAAGGATGTTTTTATAAAACATTTATCATCATAGTGTTTCATGGCATAGCTGAACCTTGGGTCTTTACCATCAATTTAATGCATTTTGTACTGAGTATACAGTAACTGAGTGCTTTGCCCTTAACTCCTCTACATTGTAGTGTTTTTGACATTTTCTATGAATGTCTTATTTTGCAATCTCATGATTTAGAACAATGGTCTGCAAACTATGACCTATAGGCCGAGTTTATTCTACTGCTTATTTTTGTAAATAAAGATTTCTTGTAACATAGGGATGCTAATTTATTTTTGTAGTCTATGGCTGCTTTCATGCAATCTCAGCATAGCTGAGTAGTTGTGACAGAGATTGTATGGTTAGTAAAGCTCAAAGTGTTTGGCTTTGATCTGGCTCCTTACAGAAAATGCATGTTGACCCATGACTTACAAAATGTTAGAGTTATATTTCATGCTTTAGTCTTAATGTGAAGTCACTAACTCATGATGCTGCGATTCTCACCCCACCATCCCCATCCCCTTTCAGACTAACAGCGGAGTTGCTGCGCCTGCTCTGTGCGGAACCCCAGGTGAAAGAGCAGGTGAAGCTCTACGAGGGGATACCTGTCCTCCTCAGTCTGCTCCACTCTGACCACCTGAAGCTGCTCTGGAGCGTCGTCTGGATTCTGGTCCAGGTTTGTGAGGACCCTGAGACCAGCGTGGAAATTCGCATTTGGGGAGGCATCAAACAGCTTCTTCATATTTTACAAGGGTGAGTCAAAGTGGGCTTTGGTCTACTTTGCTCTATTTGTTGAAGTCTAGGGGCTCTGTGATGAGATGGCAGATGGGTGTGTGCTCACTTTGTTCCTTCCTGCTTTGGGGTTTCTTTGGTAATTCATGCTTCCCAGAGTCATCTATACTTGTCATAAGCATGTTCTAAATCAAGGTCAGGGGCATTGATCTTTTAAATTCCTTGGGGACCCAGATATATTTATCTTTGCATCACCAACCTCCAGTGTAGTGCTGGGAATATAGAAGGTCATCAGTCTGCAAATATAGTGGAGGCTGAATGGAAATCCAGTAACCTAATTAAAACATGTCTTGTCATCTCTTCCATGAATTAATATATGTATTTTGTCATTCCAAGTATAGTCATTTCTAATATTTTCCTAAAATGTTTGCATATGCACAAACATATTTTATTATCTATAAAGAGAAAACAAAGCCTGTCTGAAAGCGGTGTGTAAACCTTATTTTTGAAAGATGATATCATTAATCAAATGGTTGCCGTGTTACTGACTCTAGTCCAGTTCTTACTTGTCTCTCTAGTCTTCAGTACGGTCCTCCAAGGTGGTATTATCTCTCTTTTAAAAGTAGAATTCCACTGACATGCTAAATCAGGAGCATGGGGGATGGCTAGTTTGTTAACATAGTTTCTAATTGAAATTCTCTAGAAGGATGTTGCAATCTAACTTCTGTACTTTCTGAATTAAATATATTGAAGTACTGAATAATAATATCTTGTGGTACCATCCAAGGGAAGATTCTATTACCTAATATTGTTATAAAGTATAATTCAGTTCTATGGGTGCCGAATCAAAGTTAAAAATGAGTACGACTGCTCGAAATGGATCGTGTGTTTGATCTGCAGTGCATAAATAAAGCTCGTTCTAATACAAGCAAAGGGACTTATCAGTTACCATATGACTAGATACTGTCAAATCGATATTTTTGTGACTTTGTACTTGGTATGCTTCTAGTGATATTGCAGAAGTGTGTTGGTAACTTCATTTTCAGAAGCAACTTCAGCTTCTGAATGCTTTCTCAACATTCAGAGGCATCAGAACAGATTGTAGAGGTATGAATAGTCACTTTGTTAACAGTATCTGTCATTACACAGAAAAGGAAAAAATTTATACACTGTTGGCAGTCTACTTGATTTATGAATGTGACATAAAAATGTCAATTACTTTATAGCATAAATTATAAATCTTTCATTAGTGCTGTGACATAATAAGCCAGGCCTTTGGTCAAAATCATTACAATTGCCGAAGGTTTTTTATTAGGGTTTGTAGGATGACGATGGTAATGATGATCATGGTTATTCTTTATTGTTGGGCAATCATACCTGTTACAACAGGTGTGTGTTGTCCTCTTGAGAAAAGCCGTTTTTTTAAGGATAAAATGAAATTCTATAATAGTTAAGCAGAATTTCAAAACCTGCGTTTTTCTCATATAGAATTGAATCTAGCTTTCCTCTTTTGCTCAAGAATTTATGAAATGCGATTAAAGATGAAACAAATCTTAATTAGATAAAGATGAAATAACTATCCTTGATTTTTTTAAAAAAAAAGAAGAGGTCTTTCACATCTAAAGAATCATTTTCCAGTCCATTTGGATAGTGCAATGTTACCAGACTTTTCCCTGGGACAATGATATATTTCAACTTTTATTCTATGCTAAATATGTACTGGTGCTCTGGGAGAATTTATGACCCCAGCTGGTTAAACAGTTTCCTTTCAGAGCCTGTGCCTGCCCCTGGGCTGACTGCAGCTGGCACTAGGGGTGGAGGCTGCGAGGCTGTCTTGTGGCTTGAGTATGAACAGCACTGTTTTCAGGGCAGTTTCCAGGAAACTTTCTCACGCCTGTTCACCTGCCATCCCAAACCCAAAGGCAGCTCCCAAAGGGCTACATATGCTCTAGATCTGGTGAAGAGATCCCTACAATTTGAGTTTTAAGATAATAATGTTGAAAAATAAGATTTCTACCTGTGACTGTCCCTAGGCTCCACTCCATTACCTTCCCCATGCTCATTGCAGGGAGGACACTAGAGGACCCAGAAGACATGAGAAGGAAGTCAAGGAGTCTCCATCCATGTTACATTTGGGCACATAGAAATCCAGGTGGAGTTGCTGATATAAAAAATAAATACATTGAAAAATATGGTAGCTATGTGAAACAAAAGGGAACAAAACAGGCAAAAGACAGATGAAGAATCTATTGTGGAATAAAGGCCACTGAGTTAACAGAAAAGTGAACGCTTTATTTTATCAAAAACATTAAACAGAGCATGAATTTATGAAATGAAGTTAAAGATGAAACAAGTTTTAGACACAAAAAGGGGAGAAGTTTGCAGAGCTAGGAAAAAACACAAGGACTGAATAACACCTAGGGAACCGATAAATTAGCTAGATCACCAGAATAAAAATGGAAATAGTAAAATGAAGGGTAAGCTTGAAAAAAATCACATACAATGCAGATGAAAAAGACCAACGAATAAAAGCAATTAGAAAATAAAAGATACGGCCCATAGAAGAAGATAGGTTTTCAACATGTGGATAATTGAGATCCCAGAAGTAGAGAGTAAAATGAAAAGGGTAAAAAATTTCCAACTTACCTAAAATAGAGGAAGATTGGAAGTTCATGAAAAAAGAAAACTGAGAATAATCAAGACTGAGATGTGTTCAGGTGAATTGACTCCAGGAAAATGGAAAATTCAAAAACAAAGGTGTCCATGTAGAGCAGCGGGGAAAGGACACTTTTCAGTAAATAGTGAGAAATCAGTTCAGTAACCATAAAAAAAAAAAAAAATTACTCCTACCACACACCGTACACAAACATCAATTCCAGGTGGATTGGAAAGTGAAACAATAAAGATGCCTTCATGACCTGAAGGAAGCAATGCTTTCTTAAATGTGACACAGAAAGGACTGACTGTGCAAGAAATCGATAAATGGTCTGCACATTCACTTTTCTTTTTCAGAGACAGAAATTTTGTTTCTGATCGCTCCTCCATTGGAAGCCTGTCCAGTGCAAACGCTGCAGGCCGAATCCAGCAGCTTCATTTATCAGAAGACTTGAGCCCGAGGGAAATACAGGAAAATACTTTCTCTCTTCAAGCAGGTACTTATGTTTTATTATTTGATATGCTATAATTTATTATGTTGTATTATTATCCACTAATATAAATTAGTGTAATAGTGTTAAGTAGGCACAATTTATAAGTTTACAAAAATGGAAAGTGAAATCCACGTGGATGCCAGAAACTTCTTGGTCCCAGTGTCGGACTTGCAGATTTAATGATACCACAAACGTTCCTTTGTCTTCTACGTTCCAAACCCAGCAAGAGATGAACAGAAGTCAGAGATAAGGAGACAAAGCATTAGCTTTATTATGAGGGAAGCTGGATTAGAGAATGGAGCTTGATCTGTGGCTAGAATCATGCTTTCTAGAATTTTCTTGATCCCAGGGCACCCTACATGAGGGGGGATCTACAGTGCACACAGCTGTCTCACCAGATGCAAGAGAGTACCTTCCTCATGCTTCTTGAGCTCCAAAGAGAAAGCTGAAAGATGCTTTCCTGTCTAAGATTTTCACATGCAAGCAGGAGCAGTAATGCATCAACACTTTTTGGCAGGGCTACCTTGAGCAGTCATGCAGACTGTGCCCTGCCTGGGGGCACCCCGCCTTTGGGACAAGTGGAGCTACAGTGCAGTCTGAGTGCTATTGGACGAGCTGGGTGCCCTAGAGTAGCTTATAGAAAGGGAGCAGAGAGGGGAGGTTGGGCCAGCAGGAGATGGGGGACTCTAAGGGGAAACAGCAGATGTGGAGGGAGAGGGAATAAGGGATGAGGGAGTGGGAGAAGGTAGGCTTTCTTTGCTGTCTACTCTTTTCTCTTGAAGAATGCAGAAGTTATTTCTACACAGATGTGTGAAAGCAAGGTCATAGGATTCCCTCTTCAAAGTGCCATTTCTACTTACTCTGAAAGGCCTCTGTCTCAGTACAAGGGCTTGTGCTGGGGTTTACTGTTTTAAGACTCCCCAGAAGTCTCATCTAGCTGAATCTCAGAGCTGTTAAGTGTTTCTAGCAATCATTCAAAGAGTGGCTGAGGTTGATGGTGATAGAATTCAGAAGAGCAGTTACTTAGATGTGGAATTGTAGGCAAGTGAATGCCTGAGAAGGGGCACAAGGAGCCTTTGAGAATTGGAAATATGGCCTACACATTCCTCTGGGTGGAGGATGGTTGCAGGGTACATAGATATGTAGTATCTCATTGAGCTGTACACTTAAGATGTGTTTACACTATATAGCTTATTCTGTACCCATATTAGTCTATTTTCATGCTGCTGCTAAAAGCATACCCAAGACAGGGAGGCAATTTGCAAAAGAAAGAGATTTCATGGACTTACAGTTCCACATGGCTGGAGAGGCCTCACATTCATGGTGGAAGGCAAGGAGAAGCAAGTCACATCTTACGTGGATGATGGCAGGCAAGAGAGAGCTTGTGCAGGAAAACTCCCATTTTTTTTTTTTTTTTTGCGATGGAGTTTCCCTCTTGTTGCCTCGGCTGGAGTGCAATGGCATGATCTCAGCTCACCGCAACTTCCACCTCCTGAGTTCAGGTGGTTCTCTTGCCTCAGCCTCCCAAGTAGCTGGGATCACAGGCATGTGCCACCACATCCAGTTAATTTTGTATTTTTGGTAGAGACAGGGTTTCTCCATGTTGGTCAGGCCGGTCTCAAACTCAGGACTTCAGGTGATTTGCCTGCCTCGGCCTCCCATAATGCTGGGATTATAGGCATAAACCACCATGCCTGGCCTGAAACTCCTATTTTTAAAACCTTCAGATCTCATGAGACTCATTCACTATCCTAAGAACAGCACAGGAAAGACCTACCCCCATAATTCAATCACCTCCCACTGGATTCCTCTCACAACACCTAAAAATTGTGGAAGTTACAATTCAAGATGAGATTTGTGTGGGGACACAGCCAAACCATATCATTTTGCCCCCAGCCCCTCCCAAATCTTATGTTCTCACATTATTTCAAAACCAATCATGCCTTCCCAACAGTTCCCCAAAATCTTACCTCATTTCAGCATTAATTCAAAAGTCTACAGTCCAAAGTCTCATCTGAGACAAAGCAAGTCCGTTTTGCCTGTGAGCCTGTAAAATCGAAAGCAAGTTAGTTACTTCCTAGGTACAATGGGGTACAGATATTTGGTAAATACACCAGTTCCAAATGGGAGATATTGGCCAAAACAAAGGGGCTATAGGCCCTATGCAAGTCCAAAATCAAGCAGGCCAGATAAATCTTAAAGCTCCAAAATAATCTCCTTTGTCTCTATGTCTTGCATCTGGGTCATGTTGATGGCTATAAGTGGGTTCCCATGATCTTGGGCAGCTCCGCCCTGAGGCTGTGCAGGGTACAGCCTCCTGCTCGGCTGCTTTCATGGTTGGTGTTGAGTGTCTGTTGCTTTTCCAGGCATACAGTGCACACTGTCAGTGGATCTACCATTCCAGGGTCTGGAGGAAGGTGGCCCTCTTCTTACAGTTCCACTAGGCAGTGCCCCAGAAGGAGTCAGAGCCCCCACATTTCTCTGCTGAACTGTCCTAGCAGAGGTTCTCCATGAGAGGCTCACCCCTGCAGTAACCTTCTACCTGGGCATCCAGGCATTGCCATGTAGCCTCTGAAATCTAGGCAGAAGTTCCCAAACCCCAATTCTTGACTTCTGTGTATCCTCAGGCTCAATACCATGTGGAAGCTGCTAAGGCTTGGGGCTTCCACCCACTAAAGCAACAGCATGAGCTTTACCTTGGCCCCTTTTGGTCATCACTGGAGTGGCTGGGATGCCAGAGACCAAGTCGCTAGACTGCACACAGCATGGGACCCTGGGTCTGGTCCATGAAACCATTTTTTCTTCCTAAACCTCCAGGCCTGTGATGGGAGAAACAGCTGCAAAGGTCGCTGACATGCCATGGAGACAGTTTACTTATTGTTTTGGGGATTAACATTTGGCTCCTCATTACTTATGCAAATTTCTGCAGCTGGCTTGAATTTCTCCTCAGAAAATGGGATTTTCTTTCCTATTGCATTGTCAAACTGCAAATTTTCCAAACTTTTATGCTGTTTCCTTTTTAAAACTCAATGCATTTAACAGCATTCAAGTCACATCTTGAATGCTTTGCTGCTTAGAAATTTCTTCTGCCAGATACTCTAAATCATCTCTATCAAGTGCAGAGTTCCACAAGCCTCTAGGGCAGGGGCAAAACACCACCAGTCTCTTTGCTAAAACATAACAAGAGTTACCTTTGCTCTAGTTCCCAACAATTTCCTCATCTCCATCTGAGACCACCTCAGCCTGGATTTCATTGTCCATATCACTATCAGCATTTTGGTCAAAGCCATTCAACAGGTCTCTCAGGAGCTCCAAACTTTACCCCATTTTCCTGTTATTCTGAGCCCTCCAAACTGTCCAATCTGCCTGTTACCCAGTTCCAAAGTCGCTTCCACATTTTCGGTTATCTTTTCAGCAAAGCCCCACTCTACTACATTAGTCCATTTTCATGCTGCTGATAAAGACATACCCGAGACTGAGCAATTTATAAAAGAAAGAGGTTTAATGAACTTACAGTTTCACATGGTTGGGGAAGCCTCACAATCATGGTGGAAGGCAAGGAGGAGCAAGCCACATCTTTTATGGATGGTGGCAGATGAAGAGAGAGCTTGTGCAGGGAAACTCCCATGTTAAAAATCATCAGCTCTTCTGAGACTTATTCACTATCACGAGAACAGTGCAGGAAAGACCCGCCCCCATAATTCAATCACTTCCCACCCAGTTCCTGCCATGACACATGGGAATTTTGGGAGTTACAGTTCATGATGAGATTTGGGTGGGGACACAGCCAAACCATATCAATACCTAAATACAAATGGAAAAATAAAAATTAAAAACCTAAAGGGCTAAGAGTAGGGTCTGAATTTTGGCTCCACCCTCATTGATGACTGTACAGCCTTGGGCAAGTTCCTTAAGTTTTTCAAGCTTCGGTTTTGCTTATATAAAATGGTGATGATAATCATGGTATCAGTGATAGAAGGTCCTTGTGAGAATTATATGAGAATATATGTAAAATCTTTCACACACTAAAATGGAATTATCCTTTATAGGTGCTCTGTGCTATGGAGTCTGGCATACCTCTGAGAGCACAAGTATCTTGGTGCAAAATGCCACCAAAGGCTGCCACAGTGGCTGTCAGAGGCAAGAGTGGTGCTGCTCAGGGCTGGGGATTTAACGTCTGGCAGACTGAGGCTGCACTCCTGGTCATTTCCACTTACTGGTTGTGTGGCCAAGTCTAATAACTCTCTGAACCTGTTTTTTCACTAGTAAAACTTGTAATCACAGTGCATACTCTTATTATAAGGATTGAGTTGCATAACATATTTAAAGCATTCTTATATTTATCAACCATTATGGATATATTTGTTGAGGACCAGCTAAGTGCCAGGCATGTGTTGGGCACTGGGGATTACAATGAAATGGACAGATGCAGTAGTTGCCTCTGGTACACAGTAAGTGCTCAATAAATGGTTGCTGTGGAATAGACGTGCACATGAATTACATGGAGAGGAGAATCAGAAGCCATTACAAGTCAGGTTCTTTTTCTCTAGAGCTGTGCCAGGCAGGAAATTACTATTTCTTGGGGAGTTACTTTGCTAAAAAAAGTAGCAAAATAGTAAAAGTAATATGTGCAGTAAGAGTATTTGTGTGAAAGTATATTTATTGTAATGATGCACACTGCATTTGATTGTTTTCATTCCAGCCTGCTGTGCTGCCCTCACTGAGCTGGTACTCAACGACACCAATGCCCACCAGGTGGTTCAGGTGAGAGCACTCCTTCCCCAGGTCAGGTCTCCATAACCATTCATAATCAGCTCACCTTGTGTTGTAGTCTGTATGCCAAAACATACATAGGTTTTGGGATTCCATGATGTGACTTAAAAATATTTTAACATTTCTTATTTAACTAATAGAGTTCCACTTTATATTCTTGTCCTTCCTTCTGTGACTCACTTGACTTAAAAAAAACTGACATGTGGTTAATTGATGTTTCTTCCTTATGTTATGTACAGTCCTTTTTATGTTATCTTTCTAAAAAGGACACTCTGAATTGCTTTAATTCTAGGCATATAGAGTACCATAAGGTGAGGACAGCAGTCATGTTGATTAAGACTATGCATCAGGTTACTAAGTTAGAGATGATGATTGAGACACAGCAAACAAAATAATTATTGCCAGGAAACTGATTTTGCAAAGTATAATCCATTAATTAATCTACTATATATACAGCTATATATACATGTTTGTGTGTGTATGTATATATACACATAAATATATATACATTTATATAGATCTATATAAATAGCTATAAATAGATCTATATCAATGAATACACACTTATATGAACCACCCTTGTATGGGTGTCTATTGCAAAAGTTACCTCCTCCTTACTGAATTTTACAGAGAAATCTCTTTGGGTGTGTCAGTACACTATCCAACTTCAAAATACATCAATGTCAGGAAGGGATCAGGTCATCAATGCTTAAATTAGGACATAAAAGAAACTCAGCAGATCAGGGGGCTGAGAGAGCAGGGCGTTTGGAGCCGGCCAGATTGAGGTTCAATTCCTGGAATTATTCCTTGCTGGCTTGGTTTCTAAAAAATGATGTATCCACTCTAAGTATTGGTTTTCTCATGGATAAAACAGGGAAATTATAGACTAATTTCACAGAGTTGCTACAGAGATTAGATGCAAAAGGCAAATAAAGCTCTTTGCAGTTATAATACGAATGTCTGCACACAGTAAAGGTCAGTAAATTACATATTTACTAGACAATAGAAAGTTAGGTGTAGGGCAATATTTTTTGTTTATTCGTTCACATGCATATTTCAATTAAAAAAACCTAGAAAGATGTCAAGATTATAATAAAGATAAATAAATGAATAACTATGAAATATTTCTCCCTTTATGATTGTGGCAATTGAGGACATAAATAAATATTAAAGATAAAAATCTAAGATAATTGGGACACCTTTACTCTGTCCCTTTTTAATCTCTCATTCTTTGTTTTTAAGGCATTTGAATCACTTTACACTTATATACTTTATAATAATCTTGACTCTCCATGGACAGTTAAAATTTTAAGATTGTGATTATACTCTTTGGTGTTTAAAAGTGTTATGTGGGCTGGGCACGGTGGCTCACACCTGTAATCCCAGCACTTTGGGAAGCTGAGGTGGGCAGATCACAAGGTCAAGAGCTCAAGACCATTCTGGCCAACATAGAAACCCCGTCTCTGCTAAAAGTACAAAGATTAGCTGGGTCTGGTAGGACATGCCTGTAGCCCCAGCTACTTGGGAGGCTGAGGCAGGAGCAGAGGTTGCAGTGAGCTGAGATTGTGCCACTGCACTCTGGCCTGGTGACAGAGTAAGACTCTGTCTCAAAAAAAAAAAAAAAAAAGAAAAGGGGGTACTTTGACATTTTAAATGTTGTCCTGTAATGTTTACTTCAAGGCCCAAAGTTATACTAACATCTTATTTGATGTTAATTTTTCTTTATGCTCGTGTATTACTACTCATAATATGACCCTTTATTCTTTCAGGAAAATGGTGTATATACAATAGCAAAATTAATTTTACCAAATAAACAAAAGAATGCAGCAAAAACTAATCTATTACAGGTAATAAACATGTCTATTATCCTGCAATATAAGGTTATTGAGATCTGGGCTATCTTTGGTAAAATGATCTATGATTTTGTAGAATTTATGGATTAGTACAGGTCTCTGTACTGACTATGAGGGAAAAGTATCTGGTGAGGAAGATTGGCATGGAACCAAAAATGTTAAAACAATGCAGAAGACTTAACAGTGGTTTCTCGGTGCCCATGGGAGAATTAGGTGATTTATTTAGGTGTTTCTTTGCTTATCAATAAGTTCTGGTTTTTTAAAAAATGCATTTCTTATGTATCAGAATATAACAACAGGGAAAATTATTTGGCATCATGGATCTCCACTTGCCAAGTGGATAAGGGGATGTTGGGTGGGGCACCAATTGCGTCTGCTGCAGGGTGGAAGGGCATTCCATGCAGAGGGAAGAGCCTGCACCAAGTATGAAAGCTGTGAGCTTAGAGTGTGCTGAGGGAAGGGTTAGCTGCTCAGTGGGGCTGGGGTGTGTAGTTGCGGGAGGCAGTGCTCCAGGAGATGAGGCCTCACATGTAAGAAAGCGGAACAGTTATGCAGGGTTCTATGTTCATTTTTGATGAGTGGGTATCGGCAGGGTAGGGGCGGGAGGCAGGTCCCTAATGTCAAAATCTGATTAAGCCTTCGCCATAGCTGCAGCTCATCTTTTTCCCCAAGTCATTCTGAAAAGCAAGAAAAAACAATCTTTGTCTCCAATCCATTTTGGTTGAAGAGTTATTCTCCAAAGTGATGGCCAAACCTAGCAAATTCTTTGGGGGTGTCTCTGTGCTGGCGGGCAGGGGTTTTTGGAGAGCTACCAAGGAGAAGGTGCAGGCATGGGACTTGATTTCTTCAGTGCATCACAGATGTATGCTGCTGTGCTGGTTAACAGATAAAGACAGATCCCTCCTGCAGATACATTTTGTTAAGCCAGTAGGAGTTTGTTTTTTTAATTCCAGTTGAAGGGCTTTTGAGGAGTTTGCATGCTCTCCCTTCCTCACAGTCTCCACTGCTCTCACCTGGCTCCTTCATGTCATTCTATTATCAGCCTCATCTCTCTGGGCAATTTTGTTTGGGACCCTTCTGTATTCAGAGCACTGATTTTAGGAAATGATCCCAGATTTGATTCAGCAGACCCTGATCACTCCAATGGTGGCCTATTGTGCAGGCACAGCTGCAGGCTGGGCACACTCTTTTTTTCCCAGTATTACGAAATGTCAGATGTTTATTTTTCCTAGCTAAAGACTCACAGCCCTCTTTCTGAGCATTCTAGGGAGTTACTGCAGATTGTTCTATTTGGGGAATGCTTAAGACTCTTTACTCAAGAGACCAATTTGTCAAGTTTGAGTCCAGTGTGCCTGTGGCTATTTTTACATGTAATCATTTCTAGTGTTTATTTTCTCACAGAAACCATATAAATATTGAGGTATACATAGCAGGCTAGAAACAAAATAAACCTTGAGCTCCTGGAAATCTTTAGACCTTTGGTATTTCTCAGCATTGGAATTTTATTTCTCGTCTCTGTACTCATTTTGTACTTTCTAGAAAGAAATTAATGACGAGTACCGAGTGAAGCAAGGCCAATATTCCTAGCATTCTACAACATAAACACTTTTTAAATCCGGGAATTACCCCAGGTGTTGCTGCTTTTTGTTTTCACTTATAAGCTTTGGCTCCAACTTGGGCCAGCCACATACAATAAAGTCACATTAATGTTTACTTCCTGTTCATTCTTTCCTGAAAACATTTTAATTTGTTGAGCTACCATTTAAGAATCACATATCCTTTTATTTTCTAGTGTTATGCTTTCAGAGCCTTGAGGTTTCTCTTCAGTATGGAAAGAAACAGACCACTCTTTAAAAGGTATGAAGAGAAATATAAATGATCATTAGATTTAGAAGCTTGTTAGATAGAACGGTTTTCACATACTTGGTTTAGATGCAACAGAGGGAAAGTAGTGCATCCGTATGCAAACCACGTGTCTTCAGATTTCTTATTTCACTGACAGAAGTAAGCCACTGTAGTGATTCCGTATCCGGCCGCACTGGATATTAACAGAACGATGATGAAAGAGCATAAACCACTACGTCAATACAACTCTCCTTAATTACATGTGACTACTATGATTTTAGTTTTCTTTTTTGGTAATTAAAGATATTAACATTTTAAAAGGATGACATTAAAATATCAGCTTGTTTTTGTCCAGTTAGAAATTTGAAAGTCAATCTGGTAATTTTCCTTTTTAATTAAAGGGAATTTAATCAAAGGGAAAACAAACTATTTTTCTGTATGTCTTTGATAGTGTAAGAGCACCTTTGAAGGGGAGGATGGACGTTCTCGGGTCAAGTTACTGTGTTGCTGAGCCTGACCGAAAGGTCACCATTTTGGGAAGAAAACACTGGTTCTCTTAATGGTGTTCTGCACACCATCTAGTTGGGTGGATTAGCCAAAATCATAGGCCCAAGTTTTTATTAAAATTTTGTTGATTAGGCAGAATAAACATAAAGTATTAAGTTAATATGCTGTTTTTTTGTTGTTTGTTTTTTCGAAAAGCATGGAACATTGCTTTTTGGCCTTTTGGCTGAGATCAAGTGCAGAAAGCATGGAGCATTTGATGTTGTTACTTTATTTCTATAAGATGCTTGGATTTAGAGAAAAATAAAGTAAAATTAGTTTTTTTTTTTGAGACACAGTCTTGTTCTGTAGCTTCTCCTGCCTCAGCCTGCTGAGTAGCTGCAACTACAGGCATTCACTACCATGCCTGGCTAATTTTTGTATTTTCAGTAGAGACGGGGTTTCACCGCGTTGGCTAGGCTGGTCTTGAACTCCTGAACTCAGGTGATCCACCATCGCAGCCTCCCAAAGCATTGGTATTACAGATGTGAGCCATTGCACCTACCTACTTTATTCTTTATAATCTTTCATTTCAAAGTTCCAAATCATCCATTTTAGTGAACTCAAATATTTTAAAAGCTCTTGAAATCAGTGTCTTGAAAATGATGAATGAATCTCTTTATTTTTCATGTACCAGTATTTTTATTTTCATAAAATATTTAAAAGTTGGGTTCGTATTTACTTCTTACTAAAATCTGAGTCAAATGACATTTGTGAAAGTCCTCCACACTCAGAAAACACCCAATCATCATTTCCTTTTAATATATTCAATACCTATACCCCCAAATATCTTACAAATAAGGTTTTTATATAGTCTGTATCATATCTAATTTTAAATTATGGTAAAAATATTAACATGCCATCTACCTGCTTAAAACATTAAGTGTACAATGTTGTTGACTATAAGCATAAGGCTGTGCAGCAGATTTCTAGAACTTTCTTCTCCATTTGTTTTTTTCTTATCCCTCAAAAACTGTAAATAGTGTGTTTTTTTCAAGAGAAGCTGGGGAGTATTATTCTCCCAACTTTGCTGATAACCAAAAGCAGTTACATTTATTTCATGTAATTAATCAGCAAGTCAGCTGCATTCAAAAGGGAAGTAATGGCCAGTAGTGTCCAAGCTCTACCTTAAGTGTGTGTAATCTTTTCTGTAGACTTTTCCCCACAGACTTGTTTGAGATCTTCATTGACATAGGACATTATGTACGTGATATCAGTGCTTATGAAGAATTGGTATCGAAGTTGAATTTATTAGTGGTAAGTCCAGAGTTTTCAATATCTTGGCAGGCTGTTATGTAGTCAGGATGGAATTTATCACAGGAACACATTTCCTTTTTCTGTTTTGATTAGGAGAATGAACTGAAGCAAATTGCTGAAAATATTGAGAGCATTAATCAGAACAAAGCTCCTTGGAAATATATAGGCAACTATGCGATTTTGGATCATCTTGGAAGTGGAGCTTTTGGCTGTGTTTACAAGGTGACTTCCCCCTTGGGGAACATTTCTGATGCTCCCAACCAAACCGACGTCACACTTGGACACTCATACTCAATCAAATTGGAACTCTTGTCGTAGAAAAATAGCGAACAAATAGACATGAAAATCAGAATGATTGTTTTTGTCAAACAGATAGGGATGGCCACATTTATATTGCTTCAGCTGTCAGCTCTAGAAATTGGCCACTGACTTTTTAACACAAAAGGCATTACTAATCCTTCTCAAAAATATTCAGAATAGCTTGTCCCAATGCATGACGCAATCTCTAAATTAAAACAGCGCTACTAAGTAAAGCAGACGGACCCAGGAGATACCAGTGTTTTGAGCTGAGCTTAATGTAAATACGGCTGCTAATTTAAATGCTCTGTGACTTATTTATATGACTTAGTTACTCATGTGAGTTTGTAAGTCTATCTCTTTCTTCCCCTTTCTACCTCACCTTCCTTGTTTTTGAGACTGAGTTTCGCTCTTGTTACCCAGGCTGGAGTGCAATGGCGCAATCTCGGCTCACCGCAACCTCCGCCTCCTGGGTTCAGCCAATTCTCCTGCCTCAGCCTCCAGAGTAGCTGGGATTACAGGCATGTGCCACCATGCCCAGCTAATTTTTTGTATTTTTTAGTAGAGACGGGGTTTCACCATGTTGACCAGGATGGTCTCGATCTCTTGACCTCGCAATCCACCCGCCTCGGCCTTACCCTGTTCCTTTTCTGTTGCTGTTCTCTATTTTAGGTTAGAAAGCGTAGTGGTCAAAATCTTTTAGCAATGAAAGAGGTCAATTTACATAACCCAGCATTTGGAAAGGATAAGAAGGATCGAGACAGCAGCGTAAGGAACATTGTTTCTGAATTAACAATAATAAAAGAACAGGTAAGTGTTTTTCTTGTTTCTGGAGATGTTTTTCTTAAATAAATGTCATTGCAAGAAAGTAGAGTTGCGGAGCTGTTCCTGACCATGCTGTTTATGATCTGGTTCTATGAGAAATAATTGACATTGAAGCAGTGATATTTTTGCCAGCTTTTTTTCCTAAGGCTTGACACTGAAGCATAAAAACACTGTCTGGAGTTTATATCAGGTCATGGATGCAAAGCAATTGGATTTATGGCACAATGCATCAGATATGAGAAATCCTTTCATTTTCATTGTGAGCATATCTATTCTTTTCTCATTATATTTTAGGATAGTTGGTTACTTGGTTACATACACAGAAATATGATTAAGAGTTTCCTGACTTTTTTCAAGTGGAGCGAAGCTGTTAACATTCCTCAAATGTGGCTTATTAAATCTAAAATGTAGATTTTTCAAGATGGGTTATTATTTATTGGCATGCGCAGAATACTCTGACATAATGTAACAGCTCAATTAACTCTCATTATGAAAGTTTGTTTGAGGAGGAAGAATAAACATTTCAAAGAGAAACGGGATTTCTTTGTGTGATCCAAGAACACATTGGTTTCTTTTTCAGCCTTCCTTATTTGCACATTCATTACAAATACTGTTCATTTATAATTCCTGTGGCGCTGTCAGCTCCGCTGCTTTTTGTCCTCCACTAGTCACATTTGCATAGCATCTGTGTTGGGACGTAAAGAATTCCATAAATATGGTGACCTTTGTTCATCGAAATCGATAGTTCTATTCCAGTTTATATATTATAGTAAATATCATCATTATTAGTCTATTGTATAGTTGACTTTTATAGACTCACACACTAGGCTTTAAAAAGTTCGTTCATGTGTTTATTCGTTGTAGGGTCATCTAGCCTTCCACAGTGTGCTTTTTTGTTGTAGCACAAAGCTAGAACAGGGCTTTTGACCTAAGCCAGTCCACTGTTTTCATTTGGACCCAAATATGGTTATAGTCCTTGCGGGTAAGCCAGGTCCAGAATATGGTTCTGGTTGGTTACCTGGCACCATGTTGTTTAAAATCTGCTGGCCACTTGCTAGTTCATGAAGTAGGTTATTTGTTTTAGCACATTTCCTAAGAAAAGAAACTATCAGACTAGGGCCAGCTACGAGGCATGTGCTTGGGCTTCAAGGTAACTCAAAATTGCTCTCTCACTAGAGGGTCAAACTGATGGAAAGGAGGATACATTGAGTCCTTAAAGGAGAAGGTAGTGGCAGGCAGAAACGAAACAAATGGGGCTAGAATGGGAGAGTACATTAAGCTTAACCATCCAAAATGCAGTGCTTAAAAAGAGGCCTCACAGGACAGTGGGTTATTTCTCTTTCACAGAACAATGCCAAAGTGAGTAAACCAGGTTGGTGGTGTTCTCTGCTCTGTGGGATCGTTTGGGAATGCAGGTTTTCCCTCTCTTCTTGTGCTGTCACCTCCTAGCACACTGTCTTCTTCTGTGTGGTTGAAACTGCCATAGCCATGATCACATTCGAGGAGGGATGAGGAGGAGCATGGACGGCTATTCCCAATGTTTAGGGTTCACACAGGAAGCGCACATGCTTGCTCTCACTTTCCACAGGTCAGAACTGAGTGGTAGCCTCACCCCCCGGCTTCAAGGGAGACTGAGAAGTCCTCTCTAACGGAGAAGCCATGTCCAGCTACAACTGTATCGCAGTGGAGCAGGGCGACAGCAGGTTTAGTGGACAGCTAGCAATCTCTCTGCAAAAAGGCTTTCCGAAAGACCGAAAAGAGATGTCAGCAAGCCATTTGTTGATGTGATGGTGACTGTGCTAAGACAAATTTCATCTAGAAACTCAAATTAGAAGCAAAAACTACCAAAATATTAGCATTCTTCTAGCAAACGATCTTTTTTAAATTAAAAAATTAGAAATTCCACTCACATCCTTAACTTATATTGAAGAGAAATTGCACTAGATACTTTTTTAATATGGTGAGGAAGACTTTATTCGATACTATTGCAATAGAAGTCAGACTATTGTAACAGAGGAGAAAGATTGAACCCAACTCTGAATTCAAGGACAGGACAGCTAGGGGCTCAGAGCCAGTGGTCGGGGTGAGGGGGTCAGTGAGTGGAAGTTTACTAAGAGGAACTTGGTTAGATATCAAGGGTGAGTGGATGAGAAACTTAATTGGATGTCAAGGGTGGGAGATTTTTCCATAAACTGACTTAGCAAGATACAAGTTGCTAAAACTGACGGACCAGGGATGAGGCCTAGTCACCAAGAGGACTCCAAGAAGCCTGACTAAAGTTTGTTTAAGGAGGAAATCCTTGTCAGTTGTTATTGTGGTTTAAACTGAGTTGACTCTTAGATTATGTCATTTTCCCACTAATCATTTTGGAGTGCATATAAAGGAATGGTGTAAATAGACACAAACTCTACATAAATGTTTAGATGGTAGGGAGAGATAAAGAACAATGAATATTTATAGTCAACAGAATTTACCTCATTTTGCTTTTTTCCTGTATGCAGTCTGTGTATGAGATCACAATCCCATACACTCCTTCAGCAAGGAGTGCTAAAGGAATTCTTAAGATTTCTTCTACCTCTGTAGTTCTCTTGGTTAAGTTAGGTAGGAAAGTCAGGTGATAGAACGTTTTAAATTTTATTTAATAAATCCATATAGGAGTGGTATTTTCAGACTGATTTTTAAGCCACATGTTTTTAAACATCACAACAATTTCAATTCGATGATATCTTGAAATGCTTAGTTTTGTAAATAAATATAATTTTTTGTAGGTTTCAAATATGAAGTCTGAGTAGTCAGTGGAGAAATTGTGTTTTGAAGCCGTGCAATACATGTTTGTTATTTATTTTCTTGTAGCTTTATCATCCCAACATTGTACGTTATTACAAAACATTTCTGGAAAGTAAGTATGAGTTTTCATGACATTTCTAAATAAGAAAACATTTTTGTCATGTTTATTTTGTATATTAGAATGTCACAAAAGAAATGTAATCAAGTATTTTATTGACCTTTTTTTGTGAAGATGGCAGTAGATGATCTGAAGGATCACTTTCTCGACTAGTCAAATAGTGATCTCGTCAATGACCTAAAGATAGTTGTAAAATACTTAGCTCATGTGAAAGACACATAAGCCAAAATAGTTATTGCCATTCTCATATACAAAAAAATCACTTAATAGGATCAGGAAAAAAGAAAACGAAAGGATGAGATTTCCTTAAGAAAACAAAGTTGTTTTTGATGACTCAGGTGACATTTTCCCTCCCCAAAGTAAATTGGAGAGAGCTAGGTCTTTGAGATATCTTTTACTTGAAGTTCAGATAAATGCCACAAGGTGGCGATGGAGCCTAGACTGACTGCAGGCAGGCGGGGTTGCTTTCTGCAGGATGGAATGCTGAGCTAGAACCAAAACTCAACTCAGCCGCTCTTTTTTTTTTTTTTTTTTTTAAATAGGGCCTATGACAGAAATAATATAAGTATTGATAAACTTTAATGATATGTGTCGTATATCAAATATCGAAATAAATCTCCACTTGAAGAATGAAAGAGATACAAGGCAATGACGGGTTTCCAGGCTACCTCTTTATCAGTGCTATTGTTATTTAAGAAAATCTTTTTTGTGTGACTTTGGCATTTGTTGCGATTTTACCCATCTCCCTTCCCTTAGATGACTCAGAAAAGCTCAGTGCTAAAATTCATGCCGTAAATTCTGTCCCCTTTACTCATTTATTCTTGTTATTAGAATAATTTTCTGTAATTTAGTGCATATCCCTTCAAAAAAGATCAAGGTTGGCTTCTGACTTGTACTGAAGTGACAGAACCTGTCTTAATATAAGAAACAAAAACTTTTATACTACCTGACAGCCTCCAAAAAAAAATGGAAATGGCTTAAAATACTTAAAATATGATAAAATAGATTAGGAAATTGTAATAAAGAAGAATGAAGGATGAGAAAATTGAAAGTAAAGCTAGAGGTAATATTGGTACATGAATGAATATTTCTCGAAATTATGAAAATTAGAAACAATATAAATGTCTATCTGTAGGAGAATGATTAAATAAATTATGATATACCCATATTGTACAAAACCATACAGCCAGCAGAAAGAATGATATGGATCTGTGTGCACTGAAATATAAGGCTGCTTAATGAAAAAAAGCATACATTGCAGAACATATATGGTATGATTCAATTTTTGTAAATATGTTCTACACACATTTTATATACATTCCAAAGTTTCAGAAGACACATATCACATACCATTGTTAATAAATCCTATTGTTTTTACAGGAGGAAGTAGAATTTACTTTTTTGTTTCTTGGCATCCAAAGCAAAGAGATAAAGAGTCACAAAATTCTCCATAGCTATAAGATAAAACCTGGAGAAGTCCAGTTTTCTTTTCTTTTTTTAATTTTTTTACTTTTGAAAGGTATAACAGAAATTTCTCTCATGTGTGTTATTTTCAACTCTGTCATTGCAAGACCATGGAATCATTCCAGTGTAAAATTCCGTAAGGTAAATCTATCAGACTATGAAACAATGCAGTTGAAAATGCAATTTTCTGAATGTCTGACTTGATGTGAGGGTAAATTTCAAATCACTGGGAGGAAGCATGGGCTTACGTGTTCTTCAGGGAATCCTCCATGACTGGAGATCATTTGCTTGTTCTCTGTGGCGCCTTTCAATCATTCCACATCCTGGCATACATAGAAAATGATAATATTTGCCAGTATAAACTCATGCTAAGGGGTTGCCTGTAGCCAGAAGATACTGTTGCTGGGTCCCAGTTTTCCTAAGACCCCCTCTCCTTCACCTCTTCCGGGACTGAGTGGCTCCATATTTTAGCATATCACCCCTAATCCTTTAGTGTTAGTGTCCTCCACAGACATTGGGAAGCTTGAATTCTCATTCCTAAAATATTTCAAGGTGTCTGTATTGAGTTTAAATTTCTATGGCCTTTTGTGATATTTGTATAGATGATAGGTTGTACATAGTTATGGAGCTTATAGAAGGAGCCCCGCTTGGAGAGCATTTCAGTTCTTTGAAGGAGAAACAGCACCATTTTACGGAAGAAAGACTATGGAAAATATTTATACAGGTACGCTTTTCACTAAATTTTTCTTAAAACAGTAAAGCTCTGAGCTGGCTTCTTAGAGACATGCGCAGTAATCATCGTTGGCTTTGTGTACATTGTGGGAAATAAAATGTGTTTTTATTCATTGTTTCAAGCTGTGCTTAGCTCTTCGATACTTACACAAGGAGAAGAGGATTGTCCATAGAGATCTGACACCAAACAACATTATGTTGGGGGATAAGGACAAAGTAACAGTTAGTAAGTATAAACATTTTTAAACTTTTAACTAAAGAATTCCTGAATTAGAATTCCTGAATTCTAGAGTAGCAGTGTCCAACAGAACTTTTGGCACTCATGGGAATGGTCTCTGCCTACGCTGTCCAATATGGTAACCACTTGCCACATGTGGCTATTGGGCACTTGAAATGTGGTTAGTGTGACAGAGGAAATACATCTTAAATTTTAATTAAATGTTTTTTTCTTCTTCTTCTTTTTTTTTTTTTTGACAGGGTCTTGCTCTGTCACCCAGGCTGGAGTGCAGTGGCGTAATCTTGGCTCACTGCAACTTCCACCTCCTGGGTTCAAGTGATTCTTGTGCCTCAGCCTCCCGAGTTGCTGGGATTCTGGGTATCCACAACCACATCCACCTAATTTTTGTATTTTTAGTAGAGACCGGGTTTCACTGTGTTGTCCAGGCTGGTCTCAAACTCCTGGCCTCGTGTGATCCACCACCTTGTCTTCCCAAAGTGCTGGGACTGCAGGTGTGACCCACCACACCTGGCCAAATTTTATTAAATTTTAATTGGGACATTCCTATGTGATGAGTGGGTACCATGCTGGACAGTGACTAGTATAGTTCTAAACAACTGAACTATATTTTGCCCATATGAGAGAGTGAAGTACTCTTAGAATACTTAAGTATTTACTTCCAAAATCAATGGTTTTCAGGTTTTTTTCTTACTGTAGAACACTGCCTCATCAACAAAAGCTTTTTTGACCACCACATGAGCACATTGCTTTGAACCATTTTACTATAGTCTGTACCTTATCAGTGACAATATACACATGGGGGGCTATGAAACCTCTAGCTATTTGTATATTTCAACAGAGTTTTTATCACAATTTTTTTCATCTATAGCAGGTGGGCTTAATGCTGGATAAAATTTTGCAAATTAGAAGGTTCATTTTCTCTTCCCAGTTGTTTAATTCTTAATCATAACTTAAAATTAAGTTTTTAGCTTAGGATGACATATTTATATGCTGATATATCAATTTATAAGTTAATAAGGATTATTATAAATTGTGTTTTAATTTTATAGCAAATAGTATATATACATATATATTTATATATATACATATATAATATATTGTGTATGTATGTGTGTGTGTGTGTGTGTGTGTGTATATATATATGTGTATATATATATATAAAACAGAAATTTTTTTTTTTTTCGAGACGGAGTTTTGCTCTTGTTACCCAGATTGGAGTGCAATGGCGCAATCTCGGCTCACTGCAACCTCCGCCTCCTGGGTTCAGGCAATTCTCCTGCCTCAGCCTCTTGAGTAGCTGGGATTACAGGCACGCGCCACCATGCCCAGCTAATTTTTTTTGTATTTTTAGTAGAGACGGGGTTTCACCATGTTGACCAGGATGGTCTTGATCTGTTGACCTCGTGATCCACCCACCTCAGCCTCCCAAAGTGCTGAGAATACAGGCCTGAGCCACCGCACCCGGCCAAAAAATATTCTTAAATGGCTATTCAGGCCATACTTTCTGAGTAGTAGCCAGCTCTGCATTTTATTTTCTTATGAAGATCAGCTATAACCATTTCATTGCATCGCATTTAAATGTCTTAAGCTTAATCTTTTATTGCATTAGCCTGTTTCTATTTCTAAACTTATGTTTACTTTCTTTAATCATTATCACACACCCAAATGGTTTTCAAAATAAGGAGCTTATAGAAGAAAACAGTTTTATGCCCCAGTCCTTTGAAACCCCTAGTTCTGTTCTCACAAAACAGCCACTTTTCCACTTTTTATTGTTTTTCTTATGGTATTTGATTTTCTGTTGTAATAGGTGAAAATTTAGTTTTCTTTCTTCTTCTTCCCCATCTACCATCCTGCCAGTACAGTTACAGCAGAATTCTATGTTATTTCAATATTCAATGTTTACGTTATTGTCGCTGTGTAATACTGTTCAGGGTTGATTACCTATCCTTTCTCATAGATTAAACAATCTATGAGATTGCTTTTGTTTTTCTTAGAGTTAATGATTGCCTTCTTTTTTGTTTGCGTTCCTGGTTTTCTTTGTACCTATCATTTGCTTTTCTTTCAAATCTTCCAGAAGAATTATAAAGCCCTCTCAGTTCCACTTCCACGTGCTCAAACTAGCGCTCCCTCTTCTGTCCTCCTGGACTCCTCCTTCCTGCAGCTGCTTGTTGAGTGCACTCTGGGTTTCCCTTTAGGCCTGCTGCACAGCCGTTGTCATGGAACTATTATTTGTTCGCCTTCGGACTGTAGACTCTGTTTCTTATGTTCTGTGTCTTTTTCTTTGTAAACGACCCTGCTCTGCTGGAGTATGCCTTCCAGTACTTTTCTAACAAAGACTGCTTTGGGAGTTATGTTTTTTGGATGCTTTCTTGCTGCACATATTTTTATGGGACCCTCTTATTTGACTAGTAGTTCAGCTTGGTATAGTATTCTCAGATGAAAGACTTTATTCTCTCAAGTTTTAAAGGCATTTCTCCAGTCTTCTAGTATCTAGTTTTGCTGTCAGGAAATCCAGTGTTCTGATGCTTCTTTCTTGATACATGAGCTAGTTTATCACTCCGGAAAAGTTCAGAATGTTCCCTTTATCTACTGCTTTGGATGGGCCTTTAAAATTAAATGTGTCTGTAGCTAGGTGCGCTCTTCAGTCTGGAGACTTAAAGCTTCAGTCCTGGGAAGTTTTTCTGCATTATTTCTTCACAAGTTTTCTCCCTTCTGCTGTCTCTGTTTTCATTTTTGGAATTCTTTTTAGTCTCATCATATGTACAAAAGGATCTCCTAATTTAAAAAATAATTCTCTTAGTTTTTAACTGTTTGTCTCTTTGATGTAATTCAGTTATTTCTTCACCTTATTTTTTATTCAATTGAATATTAAATTTATCATATTTTAATTTACAAAAATTCTATCTTATTTTATGTTTTATTTTTATGGAATCTTGTTTTTATTCTCTCTCAGGGTAATAGAGACTTTTTTTCTTCAGCATTCTTAATTGTTTATCTTCTGAGGCTGTGTGTGTGTGTGTATGTGTACATATATGTGTGTGTATATAAATGTGCACACACACATACACACATAATACAGATGTAACACTAAGTAGGAGTATATATACACATTTTGTTCCTTCTTACTATTATCTTTCTTTCTGGCTGGGGGCTTTTCTCAACTGTCTTCTGATCCTGGGCTGGCCTTTGGTAATTTTGAGGAAGGCATGAGAAAGGCTGTCAAAGCACTCACTGTGACTTCCAGTTGAGGCTGTCATCTGGTGGCCTTCCTTACAGCAAAATGGACATTTTTCTTTGAAGACTCCAAAATCAGTCTCTAAACTTTTTTTTTTTTTCTAGAGAATACTCTTTGAATATCTTGCCTGGGGGTATGTGCATCTGTTTGCTGTCATTCTGGGAGCAGCATGGACAACCAGAGCTCAGGGAACCACATTCAGTTTATAGATTTTCATTGAATTCTACTGTGCTTGGTTCCTTGCTGGTTTATTTATTTGAAAAACGAATATTTTCTGTCGGTGGCAGAGGGTGCTTGATTTGCTGGCTGTGTGTGTGTGGGAGGGCACCTGGGAACTTGATCTCAATTCCATGTATTGAGCTTTTTGCTTCTCTTCTATCCTGGATGGCACCCTGGGGCTCTGCAGGGTAAGTTGGTTCCCTTTAGCCTTCCTCCTCTAGGCACATGGGTGGGATTTTTGCTTTGCTGAATATGGCACCATCAGTTTCTACTTTCCATCTGCCACACATTTATTGGAATATTTCATCCTCTGTCCTTGCCAAGCCCATTCTCATTGTTCTGTGAGTTAATAATATTCCAAAGAATATGCCCCATCCCAGCTTTTTTTTTTTTTTTTCATCTTAGCTGGGTTTGAGATTTAAAGGAGATAAAAACATATGATCAACCCACCTTTTAACCCAAAATGGGCAACCTAGTTTCATTCTATGTCTACACGTTTGACTTAAGACATCCCATTTTCATGTTGACTCTCTAATAAATACATATATTTCTGCTTGCATTCAAGTCATATGGGACTCCCTAGAAAAAGTTGCTTTGTTTTACAAAAATAAGCAAACCTTTGTTTTGACCTTCTCTGTCCTGCCTCTTAATGTCATTTTATTCAATCTTATTAATATTTATCAGAGTTCTACTTAGGAGTTATAAAATTAAAAAATTACTTCCACATTTTAAGATTGTTTATCTTCAAGTGCAGCAGTATTTTCCTAGTTTCAAATAAAACAGCAGCACAGGTGTTGGTGGCATATTGGTGAGGCTAGCAGCCATCAGATACAGGAGCAGTGCGCTCAGAATGAAATCCTAGCCTGCCTCATTTCCCTTCGCTACAACAATTGTGTGGTCAGGGCATTGATGTGCTCCCATTATTTTTAGTGAATATAAAATGATTTTATGACTGAAAAGATAATCCACAGAGATTTGGTGTCATGCTTTAAAAAATATTTTAATAGTGCTGAAATATTTTCAGTGTCTATATCTATTGAAATAATGTAGATACGTCCATTAAGTCTCTGATCTTTAAGAGCGATTATGGTTAAGTTAAAACCCTGAAGCATTAATATAAAGCAAAGTGTATAAAATTTCCATATTTTAGGAAGTTGAATGCAATTGCAGTTGGTAGAGCTAATGAGAACAGGCTGGCTGCTGTGGCTGTGAGATCATGTCACCACAGAGAGGCAGCCTTGCTATGTTTTATGTTTCTCTTTGCTTGTGCTAGAAGGTTTATCTACTTCCAGAAGAGAAACACAGAATTGCCAAATGATGTTGAAGATGCCTAAGACAAAGTGTGCTGAAAATGTGATCAGAACAAAAAGCTTTCCAAAAACCACGATTTTCATCCTCACATTTTTTAAAATATAGATGAATTAAATGTAAGATTGATGTTGGTTTGCAATTAGTTATAGTAAGCCTTGACGGCTGGAGTTTGCTTTCATGAGGAAGCAGAGTAGAAGGTACTAACATATTCTGTTATGCTTAG